TGTAGAGCCTGGGTTGGGATGTTGCTGCAGTGCTTGATGTTGTAGTTAGCCACTGCGGTGTGGGAGGTTGTCGCGAGAGCGTGAACGTTCTCTGGTGTGAGTGGCAATGTTGATGTTGGTGGCCGGGGTAGCTTTTGGCGGGGGACCTGTCCAGTGAGAGTGTAGACGTTCTGCGTCTTGTGGTGGGGTACGTGGTGAGGGAGAGGGTGAACGGCTGGAAAGTCCGGGTGGTAGTGGAAAACCTGGCGGTATGTCGTGTAGAATGGCCAGGTTTCTGCTGGAGAGTGAGGCTGTGGGGTTGATGCGGTATTGTCCTGGGAGCCCTGGGCCGGTGGTAACAAATTGAAGGAGCCGACGAGCCTGGGAGAGGTTATCGATCAGGCGGTCCAGCAAGGTCAGGTCACCGCGCATTCGGTAAAGGAGGTTGTATGCTCTCTGGTCCTGAAAATACGTCTGGCTTGGCATAGGTTCAGTGTGAAATGGGTGATGGCGGAGGTGTTGGTTGACCATAAAAAGAAGGTCCAGGGAGCTGTTGAGGGATTGAAAGTCAGGCTGAGTGCAAATCGAAGGTTGGAGCCAGCTCGGAGGGCGCTGTGGCAGGTAGTGTTCTGTGTCGGCGGTGTTGCCATGGGGGCGAGCGCGAGGATTGGCCATAACGATTGGTACAGTAAAGCAGGACAAAGTGGCGCACAAAAAGCTGCGGAGCTAGAGTGAGCCTGAAAACTGAAAGACCGAAGTTGTGCAAACCTGGTGAAAGTAGACTGGGCGTGAAAAACAAATTGTCAGTGCATGTCAGTGGATTTGTCCTGCGGCACGCCGTAGAGAAAGCTGGGTGAAACGGGTCATATGAAATAACTGCCAACGGGCGTAAGTGGAGATTTCTCCGGATGACTGTTCTCACTAAGTTCTCGCTCAGCGGCCGGCGGCAGCAGCACAGCAGCGGGAAGTGATCGATGTGGTGAGGTCGGTGGCGTTGTTTTGGGGGAAGGGGAAAAATCCGGTTGTGAATGTGGTGCTGGGGAAACTGCTGGTGAGGTGGGTGTTGGTGAGAGGGAAGGTGCTTGTCGTGGTGGTTCTGTTGGTAGTGGTGTGGAGGAAAGTTGCTGGTCTTGCTGACGTTGCATGTCTTTGAGTTCTTGCCATCGGGCTTGGCATTGCTCGACGGAGAAGCCCACTCGGCGAGCCACAGTGGTCCAGTTGGGACGAAGTCGGGGGTTTTCTTTGAGTTCGACCAGGCGGCAATCGGCGTCGCCGTCCCAAGCGTCCCAGTCCGCTTGCTGGTTCAGTGGTGGTGGGAGTGGTTGCTTCCGCTTGCGTGTTGTGGTAGGTTGTGGAGCTGGGGGTGTTGTTGGTGTGTCGTCTGAGTCTTTTGAGAGTGGTGCTGGTAAACGGATGGGTGGTCTGGATGGTGCTGAGTCACAGGAGGAGGTGGTGGATGGTAAACGTATAGGGTGGATAGGCGGAGTTGGGAGCGGCTGAAAGTGTTGGCGGAAAGTGGGATCCGCTTGGTGGATGTGGTGGAGGAAATGAGTGTGAAGGTGTGCTATAATATCTGTTGCTTGTCTGAGCAGGTTTTGCACCTGCGAAAGGACCACTGTGGTTCTGTGTATGAGAGTTGAGGTGTCGTTATGTAGAGGTGTCGGTGTGCTGCTCATGATTTGGAGATGTAGGGATGTACAGTAGCACAGAGTCGTCACGGGTTGCTGCGGCAGCGCGCCAAAGCAGCAGGACAGCAGCTGGTCTGCGGGAGCGCGTCATCACGTGGCCGTGCATATGAATTAAACGAGCGTCAAATTCCCACGGGCATGGTGCGAAAATGCAATTCAGGTTGAACAATCAAGTGCATGAAACTCTGACAAGTGAAATACTCCATCAAAACAGCTGGTACGATTCGGAAAAAGATGTTTACAGCAAAACCTGCAGAGCTTGAAAAATTGAAGGTTCAAATTTCGCGTGGCCGCTGCAGGAGGCTCTTTTTGGCTGCTACGAGCAAAGGTTATGTGGTGGTGTGAGACAAAAGGTGGAGGTGAAGGTGGTAGTGGTGTGTAGGTGTTGCACAGTGGTGTTATGTGTCTGGTGGAGTGGAGTTTGTGGACCAGGCCAGTCCTTTGACAATGGCATGGTCCGGGTGGATCACCCAGCAGCGGCCTTTCTGGTGGAAGACTGCACCATGGTGATCGTTAAGGAGGTTCATGGCGTGTTCCTCACCTCCGGAGGTATATTTTGTGGCGGCACCCCAAGCAAGGAGTGTGATGATAAGGGAATGGGAGTTCTTGTGGAGTTGCCAGGTGTTGTGGATGATGCGGGCAAATTCGTTGTGATCATGGGGTTGGTTGTGGGTGATGCGGACGCCCTGGGCAAAAAAGCCAGGGTAGTTGGCAAAGTGAAGTGTGCTGGGTAAAAATCGACCTTGGCGTAGAATGTTGGAAATGTTGCCGACGGGGCCTGTGTGGCCTGCGTTGATGTGGGCGACTTCCCGGTGGGTTGATGTGGCTCGGGAGACCGCAGGCGGTTCTGGTGTAGTGGCTTTTGTGTTGAGAAAAGGAAGTGAAATGGCGTAGTATTGGAATTGGTCGTATTGGTGAGTTGTGTCGTTCCACTTGGCGTGAGTATATTGCCGGAAATCAGTGATCTCCTTGTAGGTGATGTTGCAGTCTGTGAGGAGATTGGCAATGTACTGGTGCTGTGGTCGGTTGGGGTTGTCGAGTTGGGTGGCGTGGAATTCAAGCCATTCCAAGATTTGGTCTGCAGGTGAAAATGTGTGAAAGTTGGGTGGAGGTCGCCAACGGTTGATTGGGCGACGAAGGACGGCTGTGGTAGGAAATTGAGAGGGGTCTGGGTTGGTGTGTTCAGTGTTGGGGCGTAAATCGATGGGTTGTGGTGGTGAGCGACTGCGGGATGGTGTAAGGCTGGATGTGTAAGTGGATGTCGAGGGTGAGCGGCGTCGCCGGGTTGTGCTGTGGTGCTTGGAGTGGTGGTGATGGCGATGTCGGCGGCGGTGGTGGTGGCGTCCTCTGCGGTGATGGTCGGACTTGCGTCGGCTCTTGTGGTGGTGGCGGCGACTGCTGTGTGGTGGCTGCGGGGAAGGTGGTTGTGGTGCTGGTGAGGCGGTGGTGTCGAGCTTGTCCGTTGCAGGTAGTGAAGGTCCAGGAGCTGGTGTGGCTGATGCAAGCGATGGTGATACGGAAGGTTGGGATGCGGTAGCTGGAGGGGTCATGCTTTGGACCGGCAATGGAGCGTCCGTGGCGGTTGTGGGGATGTGTTGGAGTGGTGGTGTTGGATCTGATGGCGTCTGGTGTGGGAGTGGAGGCTGGACTGGTGGTGAAGCGCTGATGGTTTGTGGAGGTGGCGGTGGGGGTAATGGTTGGGGTGGAGGCTGTGTGACTGGGGGAAAAGCTGAGTAGGGCTGCCAAACGCCCTGGGGGATGGCGCATTGTGGGTCTGTGGACGGATGATTGGCAATCGCGGTCTGTTGCTGTGTTGGAGGGGGATGTGTCAGTGTAGTGGGGGGAGGAAGTTCAGCCTGTGGTGTGGGATGTGGTGGTGGCAACAGGTATGAAGGGGGAGGTGCTGCTGACGGAAATACTGGAGTTGGATGTGTGGGCTGCGGTGGCACGTGACATGGTTGCACAAACGTCCAGGTGGACGGTGTGCCGTAGGTCAGTGCAGTGGCGGTGGGATTGGACAAAAAAGGTGGTGGTTGAAACGGTTGTGGATGTGGGTGAGGGTATGCCGGTGGTTGTGTCGTGGGAAAGGTAGGTGCAGTTGATGGCTGTGGCAGCGGCCATGTGGGTTGAGGTTGTGTGGTAGGTAGTGGTGGTGGCGTGGCGTGAGCGTATGGCCACGGAAAATGCATGTCGTGGTCGTAGCTATGGCACGGCGCGGCGCGGCAGCAAAAATGCAGCGGAGAAGTGCCGAGTTGTATTGTCATGATGTTGTTGAAAGTCTCATCCCTGGTGTCGATAGAGAGTATGTTGTAAGGTGATGCTAGAGGTGAGCTTGTTGGTAGGTGTGTGTTCATGCATCTCGAATTAGATTGAAGAGCTCTAATGCCCAAACTTGAGTTCTGCTGATAAAAGAGTCACGGCATCGATATGGCAAAACATGGAAACATAAACGTGACTTGGAGGAGTGAGCTTGATGGATCCGAAACCTGAAAGTTGATATTCGATGTATTCTTCAAGAACCGTTTTTTGGCCCGGCGGCCGGTGTGTCGGTTGATTCTGTGAGGGTGTCGGTGCCTTCCTGTGAGAGTCCAGTGAGTGGTGGTGCGTTGTGGTGGTTGCTTTCCCATGCAAAATCTGCGCCCCTGTGACGGGGGTCACACTCAGCACCCGAGTGGGACGGCTGAGCGAAACACACTCTGACACTTGTATTCCGTTAACGCAAGTTCACGATGGGAAGGAAGGTGATGGAACGGCAAGGTGCATGAGTCTGCAAAAAACCGTATTGTTGAACAATGTTGGCAGCTGCACTCAAAAACGATCTGACACGCAAAGTCGGCTGCAAAGCGGCGCAAGGTGGCGGTGGGTTTGTGGGAGGTATCATGAAGAACTATGAAACAAACCGTGGAAGAGTGGAGTAACAGCGTGTGAAGAACTTTGCAGGTACGTTCTCAAGGCGTCCCTCGAGAATATCCTGACGAATGGCTGGAGCTTCGTTGGATCAGGCCAAGCCAAACGTCCCTGATCCCCCTGCTTGCGAGAGGTGGTGGTGGAAAACTCTTTGTCCAGGGGTGGACACACACACACACAAACCATCAGCATTTCTCAAACAATTTCCCTTTTCTTCCTCAACTTGGTGGATGCTTTGATATGTTCGCCAAAATGGAGGGGCACCGTTCAGATTGGTTGCAGTTCGTTGGGGACAATGGCGGATGGACTGAAGTCCGATAAACTTTGTTGCTTGGAACGTATGAGACCTATGTATGGAGGTGGTCCACGCTTCGGTGGATCGCTCAAGACCAAAATACAATTGTGCAAATGGCAAGCCAAAGTGACCCAAGTTTGCCAGCGCTCGTCTCAAATTGATGTAGGCAGCTTGCAGAGTAGAATCGTCGCCATGAACACCATGAGAAGCGTCTGTCCTCCATGGCTGATTCACCAGGAGTGGCTTTACCCAGAGGAGGATATTCCGAGCAAACGCCTCTTGTTGCTCTTCAGTAGTACCAGCGTCATTCTCTTCATCTATCTCTGGATCATCAGCAAACAAGTTAGCATGTCGATCCACAAAGGCTTTCATCTGTCGCACCTGTTGGAATTGGCTCAAAAACTGCTGACCAAGGAATTGTTGATTTTGGAACACGTCTTGTGGAACAATAGACAATTTGCCCAAACATGATTGAACGAAATAGACGGATGTATACTAATAGTATTTAATAGGTCAAATATGGTCAAACAAATCTTCCCCTTTACCATCTTTGTGAAATGCCTAAATTAAAGCAAAACCCATCTGCGCCTGCTCTTTCCACCATCCAGCTTCCGTACGCTCTTTGACGTCTCGGCTTACCGCTCGTAGCGAGGACAAACATTGCAGGTCGGCCGGCGCGAAGGCGAGCACCTTCGGCAGCACATCAGCCGGCAGCGCCATGCGGTGCTCAAAAAAGGAAACCCCACCGAGAGGCGGCGAATTCAGCTTCGAACTTCGAAGAAAGGAGTCAAGTGGGACGATTGGGACGAATGCCCAGTGGACATCATTGACTTCCTCTCACTACCAAGCCCACATGGAAATGAATCTGGTTGGAGATTTTAGATGTATAACTGGTTGGATGTCCCCAAGTGCTCACGGCAATTCCAGCCCACCAAAACATATCCAAGAAATCAACTGGCTTGGAGAGTGACTGTGTGAGATCGTCATGAGTCGTCCGGACCTCCTTCGTTGCGCCATGGAGCCAAGAGTGCCAAGCGGTAGACACAAGGGCATCGACGACAACGACGGTCATGTGTCACCATGGAAACTCAGCGCTCTGTCCACTCTGCAAGTCAACCAAGTAAAAGTAGGTCAGCTTAGTCTAGACTCCACAAAAAACATGTGGAAATTGGCCAGGACTTGACTCCTTTCCCTCTGCAAACCAGGTGTGTTTCGCTTCTCGACTTTGATCTTCTATGTGAGGTGCAGGGCGTCACTCAGTGATTGACCACAATCGATTGGAGGTCCGTCAATTCTTCACACGTCCTCATCCTCACCTGCTGACTTATTCCTTTCACCAAATCCAAACAGCAAACCACCCTGAATGGAGACTTGAACACTGATCAATCTCCTAGATCATTCTCGTTTGAACTTGATGATATGACGTTCTTCAAACACTATACATATCTATGTCGTCTATGTGTACTTTCTTCAAGTCAGTACCAAAAAAACCGTTAAAAGGAAGTGACCTCCCCCTCCATGAACGCGCACCCAAGGCTCCAAGAGGTTTTGCAGCAAATAGATCCCCAACTGTTGCAGTTGCAACTGGTCCGAGAACATGAAGGCCGAGAAGGTGTCTGGCCAAAGAGAGAGAGAGAGAGAGAGCCATTCACCGTTCACCCCTTTCGGGGGGGCATGGCCACTGGCTATTTGGTGTAGGGTCTTGGGTCAATCGACAGCAAAACAGTCTTCAAGAGGTGTGGGGATGCTGTTTTCTGTGTTGATGAACAGTTTCGCGAGTTGATGAACAGCAGTGGGTTGCGGGGCTGTGATAACCCCCCAAATGAATTCTGACTATGGCTGCACCCTGAAAAGACCGCCATGTCACCATGTCCGACTGACGAATTCTGAGCTCTCCGTCCTTAGCCAGTCGTCCATTTTGTTGAAAAACCATTGTGGTCAACTGGTCAACCCTTAGTTTTCATCCCGTTTCGGGCAGAAGAGAACCCGTTGATTTGTGCGTGTGTGCACCCATGCGGGATATGCTTGGTGTGACACGTGTTCAACGCACAGGGAGCTTGGGGGAGACCTTCTCTTATAGGTAAGGATCCAGTGAGTCCATACCTGGATCTTCCAACGACGTGTCAAATGTGTGCCTTTTCATCGATGAAACCAGCCAAGTTAGGCATCCAGGTATTGCGTTAGTTGGAAGATCCCAGGTATTGCCAGCTTCCTCACAAAAGTATTGCGTGGGACGTGGCACGGATGCAAAAAAGAATAACCGCTCGTTCCACCTTCGGCTGAGGCTCGCAATCACACCAGTCTCATGCACATCAGTGGAACGGAACACCTCCTCCTGGTGACCCTTTGAACGACACGCTGCTTTGCCTGAAGCAAGAGATAGTAACACTCCATCGAACTGGATGACTGGCGGACCACCGTTCACGCAGGCAGCCAATTTAGACTCTTGATTAATTAGGAACACCCCGCGTTTGAATTGGAAGTCCTCTTCATATGAAGGGAGGGTTGTTCATCAACTGAGTTATACATTACTTGACAGAGTGCTTTCGAGACAGCGGAACGTTCGAAACCAAATCGTCCCAAGCAGCGGCTCCCTAGTCGACTTCGGTGGAGAAGACTGCTAAGTTGGTTTGCGAGGCCCGAAAATCTACCACATGGCAGTATAGTATCATCGGATCCCACGTGAATTGAAATGCGAGAACGATCTTGGTATGCTCAATGAAAAACCATCAGCTTGCTCAATCCTTTGAAAACCAGCCAAATCATCTAAAATCCATGTCCCACACCACCCACCACCCGGACCACCCTCGGAGGGACGACGATCCTCCGTCGTCGCGCCTAGGGCGCCATCCATGCCCAGCTGCGGACGGAACTCGTCCGAGCAAGCAAAGGGGATGAGCGCCTGAGGAGTCAAAGAACCAAAGGGGTTCCGAAGGAGCACAGCAGGGGCAGATCAGATCGCCTGGCCAAGCTGATCTGGAGGAGTGGTGCCTTTTGTGTATATAATTAGAGTACAGTAGTTAGTGTAGCTCAAAAACAGAGCAACATTCCAAAGAGAGAGAGAGAGAGAGCCCTAAAAAGATTCAAACAAGAACATTTGAAGCAGGTATATACATCCCATGTGTATCCATGTTTGGGGGTCTGGTTAGAACCCTTGGTGCGCAAAAGAAGAGAAACCTGTCTTCCAAGAAGATGGGTTTCTGCGCCTGCACCGGTCCGTACCGACAGGATAGCCGTTTGTGACTGGTGAAACCGAGTGTGTCGGTCTCATGTGTTCGACCTACCAAACCACACACCACACCACCACCACACCCATGCCCTACCGGATCCACATGAGTCCAAAATCATACAAAACTTCACCTATAGTGAAGTACATAGAAGAAGGTCCAAAATAACAATGTGTATATATAGATATAGATATATAGATATATATAGGTATATATGTGGGCTTTTATACCTTTTGGACCAGAATCAATATAATTCATCCACTTCCACTTCGACCTTCCAATGGACCCACGGACCCCGCCCCGTTTGAAAAAAGACGCCCTGAGGCCTTCAAGGCGTTCACGATGAGATCGATGTGGGTCTCGTTTTCACAGGCCGTCAGCAACATCTTCACGCCCTGCGAAGGATCGAAAGGCCGCGAAGAAGCTAAGCGAAGGTGGGCGAAGGAGCTTCGCGAAAGGCGTGGTGACGGCTGCGAGATAGCTGCGAAGAGACCGGGAGCAGGAGCTGAAGAGGTGTCGAAGTTCTTGGACCTTTTGGAAGAAATCCCCCCCTTATGATTAGGTCCATGGATGGTAAAACCTCTGAACAGGCCTTCAATTGCCTGGTTGAACATATCAAGAGGACAACGAAAACAAACATGACATTTTTCTGGGCTCGACGTTGCTTTCTCGGGGTGGCCAGCATGTGGATGTCCGACCTGGCACCTCCCCGTTTCGGGGATTTCCACACCGAGCGGTAAAGCTCAGGTTTTGGGAGCTAAGTGGTTAGACAATAGACAACTCCCAACGATGCTTTGGTCGCCTTGGTCTATTGTTCCACATGGCGATGAACGAATAGCCTTGAATATCCCTTTGTCGATACGTTGTGATGAGCCATGTTCGGCAATCAGAGGGCTATTACATACAAATACATGTATTCAGCGCACAGTGAGTGATTTGGGACAATTTGGTCGTCAGCTATCGCAAAAGAAGTTCTCTTGCTCGGCCCTGCAATATGTTGAGACTTGCACCTGGATGCACCTCCCAATTCTTCCGGATCAATTCCCTTCGAAGAAAAAGGACCAGCTAAGGCTTGCTGTTGGAACCGCTGTTGGAACAGCAGCACTGACTGAACATGATCAACCCTTCCCGTCACTCTTCCAACCAAGTCTTACAAGCCACAGTGCTCAGCACCAACCCAAGTCAAACATCCTATATATATACCTGCAACCCGAAACGACCACTTTTTTTGGTCGTTTTGAAAACAATCAATTTTTTTGGTCGATTCAAAAAATACAGTCGTTTTATCTTGCAGTCATTTTATACATGAACAATTTGGTCGTATTTTATACGGTTTGCATACGGTTTGCATACGGCCCGTATACGGTCGTGGTTCGAAGAATATACGGTCGTTTCAACAAAATACGGTCGTGGTTCAAAAAATATACGGTCGTTTCCAGAAATATACGGTCGTATACGGTCGTGTACGATTTCACAAATCAACTGCTTGATATGCATTGTGCATGATGTATAATATTTGAACACCATCATAATTGACAAAAATACGGTCGTTTAAGAAAAGACCATGGTTTAATGGTCCTTTTGGAAATATACGGTTGTTTGAAGAAACAACCAAAAAAAGTGGTCGTTTCAGGTTGCTATATCAATTATATGGTCCCAATCTGTCCACCAGGATCTCCCATTTAACACCCTTCCTCCGACTCCGAACATGATCTCACGAAAAACGTTCCTTTTCCGCACTGAACCGGCCCAACCTCACCTCCAAAACCCCAAACCTCCGCACCGCGCATCTTTCCGCACCGTTTCGGCTCGGAGTTCTCTCTCTCGCGGCCCTATGTCTGGCCTTCTCCTGGGCGATGGCGCGCTGCGAGGAGCCGCTCTCGGCCAGGTACAACAGGCAGAGCAAACAGCATAACCTTACGTGCTCCACCTGCGCAGAGAGCGGACGAGAAAATGCGAGAGTTTGGAGGGTTCCTTTCAACCAACAGGGAGGTGGATTTTCAAGGTTGGGTTTCGGGTGGTGAATTTTCTGTGAAGGGTCAGGTTCTTTTTGTTTCGGGTGGACAGAGGTCGTTTCTGTGGCCATTCTCACGCAACCATCCACCAAAATCCTGCGGTTTCGCAGTCTTCAAGGACAATTCTCGTAACATGCGGATGTGAACCAAGTCGAAAAACATGGAATGACATGGTTGGAACCTGAGTGTGCTCATGGGCCGGCATCAAGAGAAGCTCGCACGCAAGCAAATTAGCAGGGGCTTCAATGGAGGGCCAGATGATCAGAAGTGTCAGTATCATTCTGCCACATGGAAATCTCGAAAATGAAGAAAACTATATATAAACATCTATTGAGTGTTTGTTAAATCAACATGAGGGTTGCACCTTGAAAGATCACACGTCGGTTGCAAATGTTTTTTTAATAGCTTTCCCCAAAGAACAAAAATGGTGACAGTTTCGGAACATGTGTTCGTTTACGAAACAGAATGTCCCATCTCCTTGCTGGTTTGTCGACACGCTGCGTCAGTCTCAGTCAACGTGCCCGGCCTTGGACTTGCTGTACATCTGGATCACAAGGCGAACGCCGCCCTGCAACACGAATTCTTGATGAGAATCCGCGTGGTAACCTCAGATCAAAAGTTGGCACATGCACTTCTTCATGCAAGTCTTCAAGCCTGGTGGAAAATCATGACCCATACCGCACCTACTTACATAACAGCAACTCTAGAGCATGTTCTGCACGCGCAGCCAGGCTGAAAGCTTTGTAAGTGCCGCTATTGAAGTGTCTTCCGGTGCTGCACAAGCTGGAAGAGACGTATCAACACGGGGACATAACAGCTGAATCTGCTGAAGGAGTACTACAGTTACAGTTTGCACGCCCAAGAACCTACTCCTCCCTCCTACACTCGTGCTGCACGTGCCCTGCGCAGTGCGACCCAGTGGCAAAAGGAAGAGCACATGAGCGCCAAGTGAGGCGCCAAACGTGGGTCTTCCTGGGCTCGCAGGCTCGCACCGGTGCAATCAATGAATCTGGGCGGTGGCTATGGCTTGAACGTCGTCTGTCGTCTGCCACAGCAAGCTATCTCTCACTGCGGGACATACTAGGAGACACGAGTTGAGCAAGGCCATCTGCATTTTTCATGTGCAAAGTAGCTCTGGGCAAAACCGTCCAGTTGCCCACCTGGCACCCGGATCGAAACTGCATGACACAAACCAGGCTGGTTGGGTGCCCTCAGCCACATGCGCGCCAACACCAAGAAATTGCCCTTCCCTAAAACTCTCTGTCTTCCACTTCGGTCGTTGCGTCAACTGTGGTGGCAAGCCGCGAAGGATGCATGGGAAGAAACGCAGCCGTCATGAGATCCTCCAGAACCCATTCCCAGAGACCTCCCTTTGAAGAATCCACATGTTCAATGGAGGTTTGGTGTCGATACCCTAACTCCTTAGATGGCAGCAATCAGCTCTCAGTTGTCCATGTAGATGGTCTCCACGCTGCCCCGAGGTCCTACGAGGTTTCCTGCTAAAACACCACTACAAGGAGTCTGAAGGTGTGACGACCGATTTCTGGAGAAAAGATTGGTGAAGTCATTGACTTCTCCCAGCAAGGGTACAGTTTTTGGTGGGTTCTCAATGGTGAAAACACAGCAGTCTACGATTGATCTACCCCCGTGGATGGTCTCCGTAAGAAACGAATCCGGCATCAAAAGGAGACCTGCTTTTCCCAAGTCCAAAAACCCTTTACAACTCAAGCAATGTCCGTCATCAATCGGTTTGCAGAAAATTGAACCACCTAAAGCCATCTAAAGCCGAAGGTTTCAACAATCTGTCCTCAAGCAAACGGACAACCTGACAACGGAGGTTTTGAACGAAGAAAAACTGAGGCCTAGAGAACTAAGGATGGGGGATGGAGAGGAGGATGAATGATGATGATGATGATGATGATGATGATGATGATGATGATGATGAT